CAGATTCACAACACCCTGCAACCCCTTCTCCACTTCAAAAACTGTCATAACTCCTTTGATCTATGCTGCCCGATGGCGTAACCACTGGGGGACAAGGGGAAAATCTTTCCTCACCCCTTGACAAATGCATCCTCTGAAAGTGCCTAAAATTCTCAAATTCTTTGCGCGCATTTCTTGTTACGGTAGGCCAATTTCCTCTATAAATTGCACATTTTAGGGAATTTTCATCAATTCCGACGAAATTAGAATTAAAAATATTTTGCGCGCTTCACCCGCATTTTTTAGGGCTTTTTTAGGTTTATCCTTTTAAGTTATTTAAACACATAATAGTCCCAAACTCAAGTAAGACAAATTTAAGATAGATCGTTTTAACCTAAAAGAAGGGCCTCAATGTGTTGATGGTGAAAGAATATGTTTGTAATAAATAAAACCACGAGGAAAATGCTTATATTTAGTTATGTAGTTTAGCCACGTGTACGGCCTATATTATAAATAAGATAAGCCCTAAGGGAGTGGGGTGGAGTGGGTATGGTAAATTACTAACCGGGAAAATAAATACCCACTCTGACCCAAGACCCCTGTTACACGCCTGGTGTTAGCGCCAATGTGTGCCCTTGTGTGCGGACAGGGGATGTTCCCCCCCTCTGAAGCTGGAACCTTGTTTTTGTAAAATAAATTGATGCAATTTGCTATTATAGGCCTAATCAATCAATTCCTCATCAACCGATATAACCTTAAACATTCTTGGAATTGACATAACATTACTGATGTCGTACACACCATTCAGTGTGAAATGTGGCTCTCTTTGCAAGCACATTAACATCTAAGGAAAGAAGAGCTTAGATTGGTACCAGATAAAATAATTTTGTTATCAACATTAATACATTATGCTTTTCATCTTTGTAAGCGCATAAGACAGTGCAAATTATTTCTGTGACATTCTTTTGAAGTGTGTAAAGCTCCATTTTATCCCATACATAATCAAAATATTGGGGAGGATGATACAATGGACCATCCCCCCTTGTCAAATATTGGGGGGGGGGGGATATATCCCCATCCCATACAATAACAAGTTATTTATAAAGCAAAGATAAATAATTTTACATTTTGTACTCAATCTACTTTACCAATTAAATTGGTTTAACATTTTAATCAACGGGTAAATAGTGTTAATAATTATTCGATTTTCAACCTGCACAAGCAAGACAAAAAATTAATAGACCTTTCCGGAGTGTCAATCAAACTTAACAACTGACTAATCAGAACAGCGCTAGGAATACGCGCGCGTCTCACAAACATACGTGTTGTCCCACAAACGCACGTGTTTGCGTATGTTTTAACACTGTCGCCTTGTGGGACCTTAGCAACAATATCCAAGGGGCGGGGCTTAGCGGAAAGGTCCATTGTGATCAAGAGAATACCGGTAACAATTATTGAACATCAGGAGTCCAGCCCATTTATTATATTGTAGTCTATGGATAATTAATTTTTTTTTTTTTTGGTGGAGTCGTTTTTTTTTTTTTTTTTTTTGGTGGAGTCGGACGATAGGAGTCGATGTTAGTTTATAATTTATGGTAAATCAGGCTTCATGAGCAAGGCAGTTGTTTTTTAAATTAAAACTAATAATTTTTAGCTATTTACAGCAACTGTGTTACTGGGGCCCAGCATATTAACTTTGTGGATTGTCCGTGCATAAATGGCCACATAGAGAGTCACGCTCACTCACGGCTCATATCTGGTTTTTTTTTTTAACTGTGTCTGGTTTCATTAATTTCCCCTTTTTCATATTTCGACTTTCTTTTGGAGGGGTGCCATGAGTGTTTTCTCGTAAACGGATACCGGTGCTTTTTAAATTTTCAATATTATTATCATTATATATAAGATGGTCATTAACTGCTCTGTATTTTCGAAAAAAATACAATTTAGCATACATCTGTAGCCATTAGCGAATTCAAGGGTGGGTGGGTAACCAACCCCCACCTAAATTAGTCGAAATTATTTTTAAAATGGAGAAAAAAAAACTGAAAATTTTATTCATATTTAAGTCGTTTCCGGCCATCTGGAGCATGTAAAATCGCGGTTTGTCATATGATGTAATTTATTTGTGAAAGTCCTCACCCATCTCGCCTGGATTCCATCTATTCAAATTATTGGATCTGCCACTTTTTCAATTATTCTTGATTAAAAGTTGTGCACCAGATAATGACAAGATTCTTGGTAATAAATTAATATATAATCTACAATGTAAACAATGACTGGAAGTTAACAAGCCGCAAGCTGTGGAAATACAGTTTTTTTTTTGTTTTTTTTTATCGTTTCAGGTCTTTGATTGTTTTAGGCTTTAACGAGTTGGAATGCATGTTGTTGATGAATAGAAGATAGAGAGCAATGAATAGAATAGAGCCATGTCAGAGCATGCTTCTAGTGAGGAAACTGTCAATGCCTAACAAAAACAAAAAAAAAATAAAGAATAACTATAGAAGGAAGAAAGAATTCCCATTTAACTATTGAATTAACGATGCAACATGTTCAATACTGTACTCACATTTGTTATTTATTTATTTGTCAAGTCTCTGTCGTAGTCTTTCAACTCTATGCAGTATTGTTTATTTTGAAACGCCACCTGGAGAGGTATAAAAAAACAGTTAATTATTCTGTTACGTCGTTTTTGTAGTAATTGTCGTATTTTGTAATAAACCTTGTCGTATTATGTAATAGTTATCCGTCGTATTTTGTAATAAACTGAGTTGTCGTTTTGTATTTTTAAGTCTCTCGTATTTAGTAATAACACATCAAATGCATGTTATACCTTTGCAATTTTTGAGGGATTAAAAACTTGTGTTAATGGTTGTTTGGTGTGATTATTAGATACTAAGAAGTCAAAAGTCACATTGTCGGTCGCGTTTTAGAATCGCCCTCTTTCATTTACTGTATAAAATTCTGATGAAGACCGGCTAATGGAAGTTCTCAATGTTATATGTCTAGACGCTACAGAATTAAAGAAATAATTCATTGACTAATCAACCAATTAATTAATTTAATTGATGACTTAAAAAATTGAGAAAAATGAAGCACTTTTACCATATGAGAGTGCGTCTAGAGGGTCCTATTCTTAAAATTTGCTCCAAAGGCACCGGACCCTTAGGGGCACCTTCGGTTCCCCTACCCATAGGATCCAGTAAGGTCCTTACTTGATACATAACGGCATAATGTGTCACTGACATCAACTTTAGGACATATATCATACTAGTCCAGTGGGGGTGGGTTGCTCATTTGGCTCAGGGTCCACCCCCTTACATTTGTAAACATTTTTAAAAAAATGGAGATAAAATATTCAAATTTTAAGTCTGAATGAATGCATTTCCGGGTATCTATAGGAGTAACAAATAAACTAATTGGGAGGTGTAATTATAATTAGGCTTACAATCAGTGCGGTAACACTGATCCCAGTCAACAATTATAAGGAAGGATATAAACAGAGACAGTGAATTAAAGCCGCTCTGATTAAACTCCTCAAACGTGTAGGCCTACAGTATAAACAAAAAAATAAACTAACAACCTAATTAAAAACAAAGAGACAAATAGGCGAAATAGCATCTTTATAAAAATAGAGAAATACAAAAATATATATGCCTGTATACATATGCAAGTATCAAAAAGGGAAAAAACAAAACTGAGAAATTAATGTAGATTACTAATATGAATTAAGAATATGGGAAAATATACTGATTATGCCGAGATTCAGTCCGAATATGTGGGTTTTATGTTTGATGATGAAAAATTGTTGGCAATGAGAGTACAACACATGTAGCCTCGAAAAGAATCCCATCTTGAAGAGAGCCCCACCCCGCAAAAAAAAAAAAAAAATAAATAAAATAAAATAAATAAATATATAAATAAATAAATAAATAAAGAACATTTAAATAAATTGTAACAATAATTTGCAATGCAAACACAATACATTTATAATGAAATCAAAATAAAAGTATTAAAACAAAAAAGGTGTAAATTGTAGTGCTATCACATATAGAGCAAAATGAATAGAGTAATGACTTTCAAGGTGATTAAGTGTCAAACTTATGAAAGGTCTATGCAGAAAGTATGCATACTAAAATATTAAATTCCATGATTTTAGTTTTTAACATGTACAGTGGGTCTGTACCACTATCCATTTTATCGTTCAAAAGTTTTCAAATTTTCAATTTGAATAAAACATTGTTATTTTGAATCTATCAATTAGTTGTAGTGATACAATAAAAAAAGTGTCTCCTTTAATAGAGGTTGAACATTTATTGATTTGACCATTTTGCACACTCAGAAAGTGTCCTCGTTCCCTTAATAAGAACGTTTCCTAAATAGGGGTTGGCCGTAGCGTTAAAAGATATATTTCCCCTCGTTCCATGGGAAAATGTCCCTTTAATATGAGTGTTGTATGAATAGTGTCCCAAGGGAGGAATTCTACTGACAGTGTAGTGTGTAGTTGCAAAATACACGAATTCCACTCTTGGCTTAATTTTTGATACATGTATTAAAGAATATCTAAAAGATGCATGGGAAAAACGAACACATGTTTTAAATGACCCTGCTAATAATGTTAATAGCTTATAGGTGTTTTTTTCCCATTTTTTTTTCTCTTTCTTTAATGATTTTATGAATAGACATTGACTATTTCAGTTGTGTTTTTGATATGTATGCTTTTACATCAATTTCACATTGCATTAATTATATTATGTGCTTGTTTTTATTTATTTATCTATTTTTATTTACTTTATTTAATTATTACATATTTTTTCCCTTTTAGTTAAGATTTTAAACTTTAGAATAATATTATTTTACTTGGATTTGGATTTTTAATTACTATTGTCTCCTTTTTTTTAAAATTAATTTTATCTTGTAACTTGTAACTTTTGTTCTATTGTATGGTCGAACCTCTCCTGCGTGAGAGTGTTCCTCTGCTTTGAAAGAGAGAGCCAATAAATTATTATTACGAAGGGAGTTAATCGCTGAGGGCGCCATTTATATAAAAATAAACAAAAACGCACATGGATTGCATGGTGAACGATTTTGCTAGCTACTGAATTATTGTGCTTTATTAATTTGGTTTGTAACTAACTTATAACTATTGCATAAAATAAGATTGATATACTAGAAAGCGTTGCTAGTGAAGTAATGATCCTCAAATTAATGCCATCTCTCAAATTTCTAGGCCTAGCAGCACGCCTACTACTGCAGCAGCATGGAAGGTTAACCGCTTGCATTGCCACTTCCTCGGTTGTTCATACTCCACCGAGGTGGGCCAAGACTAGGCCTAGGCCTCACCTATACAGGGCAGTAAATTCGCAGATTGAGGAAGAAATTGACAGGCTAAGTCCAGTTACCGACTCTAAAACAAACAAAGAACATTTATATTCTGAAGAATATGACATCAATGATGGTAAGTGTCAAAAAGAGAAGGAATTTAATGTCGAGTTAAATAGGCCTAATTCAAGGCCCTTTCTTGGAACCAAGCCAAAAGGTGCCTTAATTCAAAACAAAAAACTTGTGTATAGTGAAGATGTATGTGCATCTGACAGTCAACATTTCAAGGAGAATAAAGCAGGTCATCTTCAAGGTCTTCCTCAGAGGATACGCAAACCAGCAGAGAGGATGAAAGTTATCTTAAATAAAAGCAAGGTCAAACAGTGGAAGTCTGATGGAGATAGAATGAGGGATGATGGTCAGCGGTGGAAGGCGATGCCTTCAGCCAAAGGAACACGGTCTAATAGAGATAAAACAAGGTCTGAGGATCAACATTGGAAAAAGATGCCCTCATCCAAAGGAACACCTAGGAACAGTAAACATATGTAAGTAGATTGAGAGTCTGTACAGTAACCCATTGTGTGCTGAAGAGCTGTCATGTCATCATTCTTTTTTGACAATTCATGAAAAATTCATATACAATAAGAAAATTTACATAAGCCAGGATGCAGCCTATGTAGACAAAACAGCAATCGATTAAATTTCACAAGTTATTAACAAAGGAAAGACACAGACTACAAAAAAAAAAATATTATAGATATGAAAATCATTAAATTTACAGTTTTTAAACTATTTGTCATTAAACATTTATTACATTAAAAAAAAAAAAAAAAAAACAAAAAACCAATACATTTTTAATACTATATATTCAAACAGTTGTTATTATATATGAAAATATTATTATATGAAATGTACAATCATTTATAAAAAAATATTAATTCATCACTCTTATACAGTATTTTATTTATTTTTTTGTTATATTAACATTTACAGGTTTTTAAAATTATTAGCATTAAACTTCATCACATTTACAACAAAAAACAATAAATTTTGAATTCATTCAAAACAGTTTTTATTATTATATGAAAATATTATAAATGTTAAACCATTTATATAAATTCTTAACATTAAAAATGTATTACAATTATATTTATTTTCAATTTGCTGTTATATTTATATTTAATATAAAACAAAACTTAATAAGGTAAAATACACAATGGACATTAAAAAAGCATATCGTTACAACATTACAACTTCGAGCATAAAACTTAATTTTAAAATTTGTAGAGGGCAATCCTCTGTCTCCTCCATTGGTCTTGGAAATAAAAAAAGAAGGTAATAAGGTACAAAATACAATGGACATTACAACATTGCAAATCAGCTAATTTGTTTTTTTTTTGTTCTTTTTAGAATATGTCCTGCAATAGGCAATGACCTTTTGTTTGGAGTTTCACCGTGTTGTCTTGCACTTAAAGCTAATCGAAGGAAGATCATCCGAGCGTACATTCGTAGTGGCTTAATAGAATCAGAAACCAACCGTCCTGAAATTGCCAAAATACTAACAGAGCTTAATGAAAAAGAAATTGAGATTGTTCCATTACACCGCAATGCCTTGGACAAAATGACCAAACACAGACCACATCAGGTTTGTGGACCCTACTGCTTAGTATTTAAGCACTATATGCACCTATCTGTAATGTCAATCAAATTTAACAACTGACTGCTCAGAACAGGGCCATGAACTTAGCATCTTGCAAACACATATGTGGCAAAGATAAACCGAACCAGTCACTCGTCGCAAAAATTGATTTTTAGATATTAATACAGGGTTAAAAGAGTAAAATAAATGGTAAAAGAATTATTTGAGTTTATGATGGCAGGCATTTCTCAGGCAGAAACCATCAACACATTGTTAAAAATTATTGTTTTAACATTGAAAATGAGGAAAACAACAGCATAGCATGATATATAGATGTATAAAAGTTAAGTTTAGTGCAATAAAATAGATTTCACAAATTTTTACATTCCAGCATGTTTTGGCCATTATCTTTGAAACAGGATTTGCGACGAGTGACTGGTTCGGCTTGTCTTTGCCACATATACTTTCTCTCAAACATACATTTACATATATTTTTACACTGTCGTTTTGTGGGACCTTAACGATAATATCCAAGGGAATAACTTTTTTTTGAAAGTCAGCAGAAATAAATAAATGCTTTTAATATATGGCAAAGATGAGCCAAACCAGTCACTCTTGGCAACAGTAGATTTCAGTTATTAATACAGAATTAAAGAGTGAAATAAAAGCTATAAATTGTAAAAAAAATCATTAAAATTCGACATTTCCTTATGAAGTTACAAACATTTACACATACAGCTGTTTAAAGAACAATATATGAGAAATTGGCCTTCAAAGTTTATGATTTTGGGCATTTCTCATACATATTTCTCATATAAGCAAATCCTTAAAAAGTTTTATAGCATTGAAAATTGGGAAAATAACAGCATAGCATGAAGATGTGTATAAGAGACAGCACTTGTCGTATAAATGTGTAAATGGTGGGGTTGCCTGCTACTGTGCCAATATGGTAGCAATATTAAGCACGTGGACCTAATGACCAAGGGAAAACAAATGGCTTTGTAACCTACAGTAGGTTAGTTAAGTCCAATAAAATAAATTTAAAAAAGAACTGACATTCCAGCATGTTTTGGCCATTTTCTCTCTGAAACACAATTTGCAACGAGTGACTAGTTTGGCGTGTCTTTGCCACATATATTCTTTTATGTGTATTTTATGTTGTTGCGTAAAATCAAATACCGTAATCAAATAATTCCCTTTTTGAGATGATTTTTATACTTCCAAATTTATAGGGAATTTGCATGGAAGTCAGTAGGTTGTACTACACACCACTCATTGAGGAGCAGGATATGAAAGCACCGGACAGTAGGATGCCAATCTGGTTAGCATTAGACCAGATCATAGTAAGTTTTACAAATGCCGTGGCTATGCTTACGCCGAAGTGATTGTAATCTCAACTCACGGATTGGTCAACTTAGCTTGACCCTAACCTTAAAACTAACTCTTGCTATCTCAGTGCACTACATCTCGGCATAAGCGTAGCCACTCTGTTTAACAAAAGCAAAATTAAACAATGGTTCCATGACAACACAAAATAATTGTTTATTCAACTGGGATATCTCTTCAATAGTTTCTCTATGCTCCAGGAAGGGCTTCTCTGGACCCCTACCAGGGCCTCTGTGCTGGTAAATGTCAGGTCTGTGTCAGACGTAGTTTACGGTTCTCTCATAGGGCCCAGTATACTATCGGCTAATACCTGATTCACATAACAGAAAATTTACAAGATATTAACAGGGGCTGCTCAGGAATTTCCTACATGACTAAATACAAACCTTGCAAAAAGTCTCTCTCTATGTATCATTATTGATATATAGAGAGTGAAGTTATACTTAAAACCAAAGATAAGCTGCGGCACTACCCCTGCATCATTTATCTCTTGTCTTCTGGAAGTGATTGCTACCACAGAAGAAAATTGAGTTTGATTAGAATGGTAGTTTGACCTATGTTCCTATGGTAATGGAACAATTTTATTTTGTATTTTACAGGATCCCATGAACCTTGGAGCAGTGCTGAGGTCATCGTATTTCCTTGGAGCTGATGGTGTTATTGTTAGTAGGAAAAATAGGTTAGTGAAATAATAATAATGTATTATATACCTTGATGTAAACACTTAAATGGACACATCTGTAACACAGAACCATCATGCAAATTATAGGAGGGCATGATAGATCAGAAAGATGCTTCCCAAAGCGTATTAATAAAATCATGATTTTTCTGTATTATTCTCTTCCAATAAACATTGACACAGATAAAATAGTAGTCAGTTGGTTTGATTTCTTTCTAATCAATCGCTGTGGCTATGCTTACGTGGAAAGTGATCGAAATCCCAACTCACTGATTGGTCGACTTGGCTTTACCCTAACCTTCAAAGTAACTCTCGCTATCTCAATTCACTACATCTCGGCGTAAGAATTGCCACTTTGTAAAAAAAGTTATACGGCAGCTTTTCCCCACAGTTGCTCTTTGACCCCAGTGGTCAGCAAAGCATCCAGCGGAGTCATGGAAGTCCAGCCAGTCTACGCTGTCAATGACCTAGCAGGTTTTCTGCAGTCTCTGATGGGCTGGGATGTTGTAGGTTCATCAAGTAGTGATGAACAATACGGGACCGAGCATGATGGGAATGATGACTGCCATGTACCTAGTGGAGGGATTGATATTCAGAAACCAACAATCTTAGTTGTAGGTATGATGTCATGAATATTACAAGTCAGAAAATGGAGCAAAACAAATTTTTAATATGTTGTACAATTGATTTTTTAAAATCAACAATAAAAACTCTGGAATAGATTCTTGAATATTTGAAAACTGGGGAGGGGGAAAGGTGGATTTTTATACCAAGGGCAGCAAAGCACTTATCAATAACAGCAGGCTGATTATGTTACATGTTTGTGGTATCCACGACTACAGAAATTCTATGCTCCAAAACTTCTGACAACGGCAGGATAGTTACCAGCTGAGAGCCAGTGACCCTTCCTGGTTCCTAGAGGAACTGGCCAATTTGGGCAATTTTAAGCTATTTCGAGATGTAAAAAAATTCTCTGAGCCCAAAATATATTTTTGTCCCATGTGTTGCAACTGACCTGGCCTGTCCAAAAGGTTTTAAGGTTGATTGTCATACCTTTTTTTACGGTTCCTTCCCTTGTGCCAAAACAAGTAGGCATGTACAAACATACTTTTTTGAAATTTTATCTAGTCATATATCATCAAAATGATGTGTCTAATATAATTGGCGGGAAAATATTAGGGGGCCAGGAAACTCTGGACAAAAAATATGGAATTTCATATTCAGCGTTAGTTTGTTATGCTCTGTTATTCTGCGCTTCAAACTGGAATTTCATCTAGAATCACAAATTAGATTTGTCTATATTTTGATAATCCATTCAACCATCTTTATAACATTTAGGAAGCGAAGGCTTTGGTTTGAGGGATGACATTGCAAACTGCTGCAACATGTTCTTAACTGTACATCCTGGTCGAGAACTGCATGCTGGGATAGATTCTCTTAATGTTTCTGTAGCAACAGGTATGCAGAAATTCTTGTTTATATATTCAAAATTTAAAGTATTTAATTTATCAATACACATTACTTGTTATTTTGTACTTGTATCAGCCTTCCTTTACTGTAGGTTACAAAGCCATTTGTTTTCCCTTGGTCATTGGGTCTACGTGCTTAATATTGCTACCATATTGACACAGTAGCAGGCAACCCACCACGTACACATTATACTGCTAGGTGGAGATATTTCAAAATAAAGTTACTGAATCAGTGTCAGTCTCGTATAACATCATGGCAAGGTCCCACATATGGGCATAGGCATAGTTTCATAGTTAAGTGGATTGAAGTACTAAAAATGACCATTAGTTTTTCATTGGAACTGGGATTCTTAATTTTTGGCACTGGAAATGGGGGGAGGGAATTACGATTCCACCATTACTCTAAATTTCAACTGCTATTAACTATTCTTATCAACAGGTATTCTTCTAAACCTACTGCTTACCAAGAGGAATTCACAACTGAGGGAAGAATAGTAGAGAGCCTTTCTAGAGACCTGTTGCAACTCAATTTCTGAGCTCCTGGATGGTCATTAAATCTTCAGATTAACAATGAATCTGAAACCAGAAAAAAAAAATTAATGGTAACAAAGGAAACTGTTGAAAAAAAGAATGTCAACAACCAAACCTTGTTGCATGTGAGTTAGCTTGACATTTACCATGCGAATATATTGCTCTTTTATTAACTTAAATGGGAGCCATTGCTAAAGATTTGGATAAAAGTTGAAAAAGAAAGTATCAAGACATCATCCAGTTTGTGATAATGTTTCTAATGCAGTTCTCAACGACGTGATGTGCGAGGCTGAATTTCGCTTTAAAATAGCAAATTACGATCGCAAAATGTGGGGTCGTCTTATACGCGCAACATACACCTTTTTGGAATTTTAAAATCTTGTTCGTTTATGGAAAATATATAGTTATAACTTCATGGTTCGTCTTAATCTTTTGTGGGGATCGTCCGTAACACACAAATTTGCTACTAATATATGCTGTACATACAAACATCATCTTATACGCGAGAATATATAGTTCATATCCCAAACCTGACCACAACAATATTTATTAATGTGAAATAAAAACAAAACATGTTTAAATGGTAAAAACTGCTTTATTTATTATTCTTACAAACACTTTATTCTGTACAATTCACAAATAAATAAACATATTCTACGTACAAAAATACACCTTAAAGGCCTGATATTAACAGTGTGTGTGTGTATAGTGAGACATTGTGTAGGTTAGGATGAACAAAACAATATACATCTCCCTTGAATTTTTTCAAAAAGAACACACAGAATAAGACAATTTTTAACCTTTTGCACAATACTTATTACAAAAAAATACCAATGTAGTTATTGTCAATATCTTGTTCCAGGCTACTGTTTATAAATAACATGCCTTTACTGTAACTATATATTAAAATAAAACCATAAATTCCAAGGAATGTCCTTAAAACAATATTTTCATCCCAATACAGAGGGAGGAGTGACCAATTGATGCAATATATCTTAGTCAAAATCAATAAAAGAGAAGTAAATTGTTTTAGAATTTAAAACACAATGACAATTGATATACTATAATTAATTCACCTATAATTAATATTTTTAATGAAACAAAGCAACTGCTACTCTTACCTGGGGTACAAATATGTGTGTGTGGGGGCAGGGGGGTTTGAGCATATAAATCTGGGTACAGTACCGTGAAAATGTTATTGTTATTTACTATACATTTATGTATGAAAATTAAATCGCATAACAATAAAAATGTAGATGTGATACAGCAAAGCCAATGAGTTGCACTGAAATAAATATCAACAAGACAGGTGAAATAATAATAATAATTAATGAATGAATTGCAACTTTTCAACTTTATCAATAAGTACATAATTATGGTGGTTAGAAAATAAGTGGACTTATAGATTGAGCTTTTGTGATTTTTTGACCAGGTTTATAATAGAAGAGAAATAACGAAATAAATTATAATGCATGAAAATATGTTAGAACGACCAAATGAATTATATATTATTTGCATATAACATACGTACATTGGAAGTATATTACTAAAATAATAAATATAAGAATTATATATAGTAATGCTAAAATAATATTCAAATTAAATGCACTTAATAACTACACTATTGCAGGGAATAAACATAATACATTTCTTAATAGTGAACATTCAAATTCGAAAAAAAAAATTCCAAATTCAGTACCTGTTTACAACACTGCTGCAAAACTCTAAATTTGGAATTAATATTTCTGAACTTTGACATCTTATAAAAACATAATATAATCAAATAAATTACAGATTAATTGATAAATTTACCTCCAAAAATGTTTCAGAAACATCAAATCAAAGGCCACAGTATTTACTTAATTATTGAAAATAGCAGGATACAATGAAACCCTTCATGATTTTACTAGCCCAAATCTAGTTTGGGAGGGGAGGGAGTGGGGTGTAATGATCAGACAACATCAGACGCCAAAGGACTACTGAAAAATCAGAAGCCAAACAATACAGAGATATAATTCAGGCATAGGTACTGTATTGTATTTAATATTGATACATGACAAAATAAGAAGAGTACGATTCAAATGTCAATTTAAGATGCTAGAACATGGACTGGTACCTGTACTTGCCCAATACTGTGATCAGTGCACCTACCATATTAAGTACATTGTTATGTTTACCTGCTTTTGTTCTAGTTCACTTTTTATCACAAAATGCTATTTAGTGTAAAATTTCAGAGCATATATATCATGTACAGTACCTTGAAGCAAGTATTGTAACACACCTCGATAAATCCTTGTCATTTGATTGGTAGATTTAGTATCGCATGACAGTGGGTATTTACATAAGTTAAACTAATTTTTCAATGTTTTCAATGGCTGAAAAAAGATGGACTGTTCCATTCAGAAGAAAGGTAACTTCATAAAATACTAATTGACAAGGATCTATTTTAGGTGCATTAAAATAAAATAATGAATGTTCTCCAAATCGTCTCTGTACCAAATACATCTAGGTTTCTCGGTTTGTCGTCTCCAGAAACTCATGTCGATGAATGAACCAAAGCGTAACCTCATGAAATTGCAAGACAGAACAAGACGTATTACACAAACAAATTAGAAAATACATGGAAGAACATATCTCCACATATAAGCTTTGGTAAATCCAATTCACTCTCAAAAAAACATCAATTAACCTTTGTGACAGCTCATAAACAAAGAGAAATACAATTTTTTTTTTTAAACATTTAAATCTTCCAAAAAAGAAAAAAAACTTTAGAGATTTTTTTTTTGGAAAAAATTACAAGCATATTTATAATTTATGGATATCAAATTTCATTAATAATGTACATCACTATAACAACTGTACAAAATTCAAATGCTTGTAGAAATGATTTTTTTCACATTTATATGATAAATTATATAGTAAAATTCTTTATAATCATTTTAGTTTCAATATTTCAATCACTCTCTAACTGGCCTCTCCATCCAGCAAGGTGCCAGCCTTGCTGGGAGACATCAGAACCTAACAATTTACCGGTACCCAACATACTTTCTTTGTTAAGATTAAAGGGACTATGCTGTGGCATCACAGTACTTTCTCTTACATGTTACAGCATACATAGTGCCTTTAATCTGAAATACAAATTATTTTTAACCTTTAAGAGCATATTTATTTTATACATACCTACAACTTTTTTAGCTAAGAATATAAACTAAGCATTATTGGACTTTGGAAAAATAAAAATAAGAAAAAAAGGCACCACTGTTGTGAAATAGTTGACTGGAATCAACAAGGTAATAAATAACAAAAAGTATTTCGTCACTGGTGTTATTATTTATTTATTTTTTTAAATAAAGGCATATTATCAGTTATTTATTATATTTGGGAAGTCTTTAAATAGTTTCTCAGTGTATTAATTAGATGTTTGTGATGTAGTACAAGTCTATGAAGCTAACAAAACTATATATATTTTTTTCAAAATTATCTACTTTTATTAGACCATAGCTGACTTCAACTGAAGTAAATTAAAGCTTATTTGAACTGTATTCAACATACGTTAAATGAAAGAGTAGATTATATCACATGTTCTTTTATATTTGCCTCCATGCAACTTTGGAAAACTTAAGTTGACTCATTCTATCCTTTTAAAAATCTTTCTAGTGCGATTCTTTGTCATGTCTTAACAAGTCATGCATTTTAGTTTGATTTACTAATTTTGTTTAGTTTAAAAACTTTTCTTGTTTGTCAATTGAACCTTATTATTTCACCAAATATCTTACAAATTATTGTTTTTTTCTTTGTTTATGAGTTTAGTCTAACTTATTCCAGTCAACTAGAGCACATCAAGTGGTCGCTGGGAGAAAATATAAAGTTAGTAAATAGTGTTAACATACTTCTAGCAGGCTGAAGATGTTAGTTACATAATAATACAATGTAAGTGCATTAAACTAAAGGCAGTAGCCTTTGTTACTCTTTAAACAAATTAAAAATTCAGATTAGATGTTACTGTCCTAATCTAATCATACAATTGTCATAATCCAATCATACACTAACATCCAATAAGAATTCAATTATGACTGGTGTAACAATAACTGCTGGAGAAACTTAAAATCAATATAAAGTGAAGGCACAAACACCAGACGTAATCTTTACTAAAAAAAATAAATACGGGAAATTAAAAATACCTGCAAACTTTAATCATAACCATCCATAGTTAAATAATTACTATGTGGAGCATAACAAAAATTAATAAAAAAAAACTGTCTATTGTGTTAAAAATATTGTTGCAGTTATCTTTGTTCAAATTTAGCTTAAATACATTAAATTTTAAAGAACAGAAGTACACGTTTAACAAATGGAAATTTGGATTTATATGATACCTGCAGCAAACAATTTGAGGCCACATGTGTGATTGATTGCCAGGTGTACTGCGTGTTTATGCAAATGGCCAGGTGGTGTCAGGGAAAAGGCTCTTTAATGACCAGGTGAATGTAGAGGACACCTGGTAATCAATGATCTGGTGTTCTGTAAGTACACTAGGTCATTGATGATGACTAAAAGAATTGCCAAAAGCCACCTGGTTTTCTATGCAAGGTGTACTGATAAGTACACCTGGTAATCAATAATCAGTTATATTGCAAGTACACTAGGTCACTGATGATGAATAAAAGAATTACCATATGCCACCTGGTCATTCATGCCAGGCATACTAATAATAACACCTGGCAAGAAATGATCAGTGTATTTCAAGTACTTTTACACTTGATCACTGATGATTAGACGTACTGCCAAATGCCACCTGGTCATCAATGATCAGATATATTGCAAATACAATGGGTCATTGATGATAAATAGATGTACTGTACAAAAACCACCTAGTCTTTCATGGCAGGTGTACATATATGGACACCTGTTCTTTTAGAAGTGTCAGGATTACTATATGGACACATAGTAATCATTTATAAACAGGTGTAATGTTAGGCCAGGTTCATGCCAGGTGTACTGACAATGACATCAGGTCATCAATTATCAGGTGTTAATAATTGGACACATATGCATCATCATGGACCAGGTGTACTGTAAGCACACCATGTTTTTATCAATCTCCTGGTGTACTGTCTGTCCGATGCATTTCCATGAATTTGCGCATTTTCTGCAGTATTCTTTCCGGCACTACAAATGGTTTTAGCTCATGAAGTAGAAGAGTATTGTTTCTGAAAGACAAGTGCAATAATGTTAGAATTTTACTTTTATGAATTTTAATAGCAATATATTCAAAAGTTACTCATGAACTTATAAAGTAAAGATAAAGTGTAAGGTAAAGGTGAAGAATAACGCATTTAACTCGCAACGTTATTATGCTGAATTGCGTATGGGCATGGTCCATGACTATTGTAGCAACTGTAGAAATCTGCGTAGTTCACATCATCACGACAGGGGCTGAAATGAACCATAGCATTGGGGTAACCCCCTCCTCTTCCGAAGGATACAATGAACTCTTGAAAGTGCACACAAGTCAGATGCATACACTTGACCTCCCGTTTTTTATGGTTTTATCCAAGAAGTTCTATAAACCGAACCCTGGACGAGGAGTGGCTGGAACCATAGGTAGCGGAGCCCTGCATTACTTTTCGGCCACTCAACTCGTCCAATAACAAGTAGTTACTGTATGAGGCCTTGGTAGTGGAGCAAAAAAATCCATATGAATATGAGTAATTTAACCACCAACTTACAGTTCCACACTCATTATTTTACCCTTAAAATATTGCAAGTTAAACATAAAGTACAATATAAAGGTATTGATGTAAATGAACGGGCTAAGGTGGTCATTTGAATACCACGTCTATTTAGGAGGCTTTTGTGAGTGGTTAAACCTATTAAAAGTCTATGAAAATTAAGACAAGGAAAAATAATCAGTTGGAACCCTGGGTGCTCTAACAATATATCTCTTTATGGGTCTAGGTGAGTGGGGAGCTGAGGCTTCAACAATCTTTATGCAGCTCCATGAGGTTAAACTAGGATGGTGCAGGTGAATCAAATCTGTGGATGAGCAGACACAGGAAGGAGTTCTAAGAACATCATTAACTTCCCAAGCTCTTGAGGAGCATGTTTGCTCTCTCTAGTAATTATGTTATGTGTACCTGTAATCTGAGGTTTCTGATAACTCTAGAATGTCTTCCTTGATCAGTAGGTAGGCCTTGCCACCAGTCGCAGGCATCAACCTATTGTCATACAACCACTGTTTATCATCTTGATCACCAGAATACTGTCAAAAGAAAAGATTATTTTATTATCCATATTTATTCAAGGCAATACAACATACAGTGATAGATCTATGAGATACTCTATCTACAGTAACAACAATATCATAAGCCTTAGTTTGCATTATACATTCTGGTGTTTGCAGGATCCAAATGATACAACAGCTCCATCCTAATTTGGATTAAAAAATAACAATTTGAAATAAAATAACAACAAAAACAACAATTTGAAGCAATAGTGCTTTCCATCTCGAAACAATGCAAGCATTTTACAATAATACCCTCACTGAAAACATCTTATTCATACAGGATTTACTACTTTTTCTGGTCCTTGGCACTGATACCTACTTAAGCATGAATTTCACCGTAGACCATGCTGCACACTTAACATACAGAACATCCCACATACTCAATTATAGCACTGGGTGGATGGAGACAAATGTAGCCTTGCCCACATACACACATAAATAGCCAGTGTAGAATTTGAACCAACCGCAAGTTTACAAACTAATGCAGGAGTTCCAAGTTGGAGAAAGCCAATTCCAGGAGATCTGGTTAAATGATCTTTAACACATTTAAATTGTATTTTGCTGCATGTGGTGAATACCCATTGCCACTGAGTTCCAGAAGACAATTTGACAACACAGTGGTAAAGTCAGAAAATTTTAATTTGCTACAGATTGGTTGCTTTCTTGGGGATATCAGTTTGCTCGAGGGAGTGTGGGAAGTGATCCCATTTTCCGGGAGGCTACCACAACTGGGAAGTTAAGTGAGTTTCAGATGTGTATACCAACCTTGAAGAGATTAGGATGTTTCATATACAGTCTGCCCCTTGTTGCTCCTAAACCAAGAGCTCTAAGAAAGAAAAAAAAAAAACAGAAATTATACAAATCAATAAATACAATTTAAGCAACCATTCTTTTAGTTTTGAGAAAAAAAATGTTGAATATTTGGATGGTTTAACTGGCACCAGCATGTGGGTCACCAGACCAGCTGCTGTCCGGAACACTGTCTTGAAGAAAAGATACAAATTATTAAGTATGGAGGTTTCTTTCTATTTGTTTGTTTAATATCTGGAGGCCCAACACCTTAATTTCACATGTGGAAGAGATACAGCTTGACAAATGTATGCACTTTCCTATGAACAATCTTTTATAACCCATGTGGTAAGGATAGGGGAAATCATTCCATCTTTGACTAGTGATGTGGATGTTAAAAACTCGATTGTGCCTGCTACTGCCATAAGTAACTAACTTGTCTTACTTATTTGCTTTGGCGCCCATCACAAATTCTGTTTCTGTGGTAAGGCGACTAGGGCTCCACTTTGGTCCTTCACGCTTCACTGGCTCACTCTTGACCTTTGCAGGTCGACTTGGTCTAGATAGATTGATATCATCTGAATTTTCATAATCTTGATGATGCAAGGGTGGTCGTCCTTTTCTCTGGGAAGTCAATCAAATACTTTGGTAAATAATAATCCATTTTTAGCTAGATGAATTAACTATATTCTACATAGGTAAAGTTGAGATTGAATCCGATTATTATATATCAGTTCCCAGTTTGTAAACTATGCATGTCCTGTGTTCAAATCCTGCCAAATTCACTTTCATTTTTTTCCCTCTAGTAGTACAACTGTGGCTCCAAAAATTTGTCAACAGGGTGTTCGGCAAGTCCGACACAAGGGAAACCTCATTCAAGGTCCCGGAAATGCAGGATCCACACTGGCACCAACCCATTTTTTGCTTTGAGATTTACTCTAAATTTAACTTCCCCCCCCCCAACCCCCAAAAAAATTTACTTTTCTTACCTTTCTTGTGGTTACTGATGGCGTGGGTCGCATAGAAAATGTACCTGTTTCGATATTTTCATCTCTCTGGAATTAAATTTAAATATTAAAAACAAATAAAGAATTACATGTAACAAGAGGCAGATTCATGTTTAAGTCTTATATGTTCTTTTTAAATCTTCTTCAATTTTAAGGTACTGGCGTTTGAATTCCTTTTATCTGTTTTTCAATTAAATATTTTCATACTTCCAACGATATTCAGCACCTTGAATTGTAAGTATAAGAAATCAGACATCACTATAGTATTCGTTTTCTTACATTATTACTTTTAAAAATTATTTATAAAAAATTAAAATCATCATGATGGGTACAGCAAATAAAAATAAAAATTATTAATCATTATCATCAGTGAGAATAGCTTAGCTCAGTTGGCTTAACTGCTGGTAACCACTGTGCGTTCACTGAACCGTGGAAATATCCTGGTCCCTGGTTCAATTCCCATCGCTGCTCTCCTTAGTGTTTCAGCTAAAGGCTGAAATGAAAATTTCAAACCAGATCGTCTTTCGGATGAGGCGTTTAAGCCGTTTGGTCCCATGTGCATGTTACAGAACACAGTACACTCTTCGAAAAAAATGTACGAGACTATCTCCAGGTGTACTGCCCAATCACCACTAGAAGGAAGTCTTCTTTGAGCTTTCGTAGGCTATGGTATTTACTCTGAATAAATCAAATCCAATTATATAATACGTACTTCATCTGCTCTATATGAGCTGCAAGTCCTGCCTGCATCACTTCCCGCATAGCTGGCTGCAGAGCCAGCTATTGCTAACCAGTCTAGCCTTGATTCTTGCGTGAATGCAACATCCGAAGGAGGGTTGAAAATTTCTTTGGCCTGATGAGAAATAATTTCATTCAAAGTTGATCATACTCATGTTAGTTGCAAAATAAAGCAAGGCCTACTATTTTATATAATTATTTTCTACTTGTGTCTTTCATAAAATACACACCTAAAATATCAAGGAAAAATAAACATCTGCTAATTGACAAGGATTTTTTTTTTCTCAATTCTTAGTTGAAATCTAATATTACACATACAAATTAAGTAATTTATTTCTTCTAAACTAAATATTTAAATGTTTAAGGTTTAATATGTATTTCAAATTATATTAAAACATAGATACAGCTATAAATCTGATCCTTTGAAAAATATCAGCAGAAAGAGGGCAGAAAAACGCAAGACAAGATGAATGCGAAACAGGAAAATGCTATTTGAATAGGAAAAATAGATTGTCTAATATTACTTAATATTGTTTTAAACATGAGCAAATCAAAAGTCAGGTACTTTCAAACTAGTAGTATGTTTATTTTATAGAACTAAATTTATTACAAAATAAACGTTAATAAAAAATAATGAACAATTTGAGAACACTGGCAAATCCATGTGCCATCTGGTTTTATTATATTGCAAGTTTCCCTGCTAAATGATTAAAAAAAATTCTTCAGAACAGAAAGTCAATATTTGGTTTTGTAGTTATGATTTTTACTCATGGTTTTGTAGTTATGATTTTTACTCACTGCATCTAAACAATCTTTTAATACAATAACCAGATGTTCGTCATTGACAGATTCTTGCCCATAATTGTCTCGTATATTCTGAACAGCCAATTGGAAGAACTGAAATAAATCAATCACATAAAAGTTGAAATAATGCTATATTTAAAGAAAAAAAAAAAGGGGGGGGGGTGGTATTAGCATGCAGCATTTTTATAACTCTTCCTCACCATTGGCCAACCTACAGGTATTGGTGGGAAAAAAAGGTACGGAATATGCAGCCCATAACAAGTGAAAACATACAGTTAGAACATGTTAAATATGTTTTCTTTTGTGAGAAAATGAAACTTTTACATAAATTTTACTAATCGAATTATTTTTATTAGCGATAACATATAGATTGCAGAGGTTAGGATTACAATTAATGAGTTCATTTTGAAAATGTGAATTGGTGGTTGAGAAGCTCGCCTTCTCATTCCACTGTCAAGTGTTCAAATCCTGAGTCTAATCTTAGTAAATTCAGAATTGCATAATTTCCATTCTGTAAACTGGCCAAGTATACTTGCTGTTGGATTATGATGTGAAAGTACAGTAATAGAAACCAAAATTGGCATTGGTTAAAATTTGTTCATTGATTAGTGTTGTCTCGGACAGACTTGATCACATGATAGACACATTGGTCACATGACTGTGGAGTCACAGCTGGATTGCTTCTGAAGTTATTTAAAGAAATGTTATCAGTGTGAAACACTGCTTGAATTTGTGCCTGTGCCAGCTAGGACAAAACTAATGAACCATATATAATCTGTGTTGTTATATGCTATGCAAATATTAAGAATGCCAGAACAAAAAAAAAACATCAAATAACATTACATAACTATATATTTGTATTTTGAGGTGGTAGCAAACACATGGCTTATGGTGAGAGGAGATCACAATTCAGATTTCCCCTATCCCAAAATTAGATGCACAAATACTTTTCAATAGCACACATACATATATTCATATGGCAATCATAAAATAAAGAATTCTAAATTTTAAAATATTCTCAGGGTGGAAGACTTTTACTTATAATTGAGCATGGGGAGTCACAGATGTAAAAAAATACAGTATCTCACCTGAATATAATGTTGAAAAACCTTCTCTATGTCTTCATTGATCTTTTTCTGAAGGGCACGCCGTAGTAGATTTAGTGTGGTGACTGGATTAAAACTTCCACCTGACCTAATAGTTGAACAATCAATTATAGTAATTACTAATTAAAGATGAAAGCCAAATAAAATTTTGTGGTTAAGTAGAACAGGACTCGACTTTAAATTCCAGCGTTCTGGATTTCATCAGTGTAAATGCCAGTGATTTTTAAAATTATTTGCAATTTCTTCACAATTCATCTATACAGTAGAGAAATATAATAAAGCTTGGATTGCATAGACCATTTTATCTGGTTTATTTTGAAATAGTGCCGCCAATGTCTTGCAACTCACTGGGGGACTTACAGCAGCCTAGCCTGAGCAACTGGCTTGTTGCAAATGGAGCTCCACGCAGCAGGTATATGTAACCATTAATTATTATTAAGACTTAGATTTGTTTTTAATATAAACATTTCATGTTTTTTTTCCGTTTTAAAATATCTGTGCTCGTTCGCAATTTAGTTTTATTGTTGACTGAATCCATAATGGTAAGTACGTAAAGCGAAATCCTAGGCCTGTAAAAGTCCCCCAGTGGTAGTTGCCAGGTTATCAGAAATTTTCATTCAAAATTTCGCCAAAATGGTCTATAGAGAAATATAACACCTTGCAAACAATAGTGAAAAGTTTATTTTTGTTTTTGTCTTTGACATGAAGTCTAAGGTGTTAAACTATAGTCACATGTGACACATGCTTAAATATGGTCATGATGACACCATGTCATGACCATATATAGGCACATCATCGCATGAAGCATGTTATATGTTTTTGTCAAATCAAATTTGATAGTCTGGACAGGGCTTTTATAAAAAACACATTTCTTGCCAGTTTTTTAAATTTTTTTTATTGGGATTTTGGGTTGGTTGGGTTTTGGCACTGCAAATTTGTTCTTTGCCTGTATTTAAGGTCGATAGACATAACCAAACGTTTAACACACACAACAAAGACTAGGCGTACTGTAGTTGGACCTTAGAGATGGCGCAGCCTTCAGAATTGTCTGAAAATAGTTAACTGTGATACATAGTTTAAAGAATACTTCCATCATGCAGTAAATATTTAACGTAAAGATAAAATGGAGAACTGTAATAATAGCTTCCTAAAAATTCAGATGATTCCAAAGGCTGTGTGCTAACTTGAAAGCCTATGCTGTATGTGTTAAATGTCGATTGACCTTCAATACGGGTACACAGTGGCTTATTCATAAGTAGGCCATATACGGCACCTTCCTCTGACCCCGAGAACAATAGAAACAATCATTATATTAAAACAAGATTTACATACAAAACTATATTCAAAGAACATGTACGGAAATAGCACTAAACCATAACACAAATTATCTAAATTGTTCACCTTTGAAGTATAATCAGCAGACATAAATAACTATCTAAAAGTAAAAGTAAGTCAAAGGTAGTTTATATTCTATTTTGGATCTACTGACATTTTTATTTTTAGTCGATTTTCTATCTGATATGAACATAAAACAATACATTTTTTTAGGAACCAGTCAACACAAAATTTGACTGGTTCCTAAAAAAATGTATTGTTTTCTGAGTCAACTCAGTGTTCTTATTTTTTAGTCCATTTCAGGCTCAAAATCTTCTTATTTTGTTCTTATTTTCTACCGTACTGTACAACCAGTGACCCTCTTGTTGGCAGAAAGATACAGGACTGTATGAGAACGGTTGGTTTGAAGGGGAAATTATAAATTTTAGCAACTACTTAGCTAACTCATTTTTGTTGTTCCTTGATGGAACTTCAGATTATCTGATTATTATTATTATTATTATTATTATTCTAATTATTATCATTCGGCCTATTGTCATCATCATCATCATTATTATTATTAATATTATTATTATTCCTATTATCATTAGCCCTATTATTGTTATTATTATTATTTTTATACCTTGTTTCACGAACACATTTAAAAAAAAATCATCTACTGTAAGGGGACGAGAATAAAAATAAATAAAATTTTTGTTTTTCATTTAGCATATAGTTTTGCCAAAAACAAGCTGACGGATGAGAAAATAAAAATAAAATGTTATTGGTGAATGTAATGTAAACAGTGTAGTAATAGGATGGTTAAATGCTTTAAATTTATATAATTAAGAAGAAATATACATATCTCATTTTTGGAGATTTCAATTCAAGGCAGCGGCGAGAGTAATAAAAATAAAAAAACCCACCATTTTTTTGTGGCAGTGGGTGTTCTACAAAAATAAAATTTTATTTTTATTCAAACCTATTGGCACATGCCATTATGGGCAGGCGACAGGTTTGTTAAACAATGTATAAAAAAAGTCTTGCCTTAGTATTCTTATAAAAAAAAAAAAGTTTATTAGTTTTATATACATTGAGTTGGTCTCACCTTGTTGTGTATGCCTGTCCTGGCTTGCGTACAAGTCGATGATGCTTATTTGGAGGAAATGTATTCAAAGTCTGAGAAAATGGATTTCGCTGAAAAAAAAAAAATGAAGTTTTTACAAGAAGTCCTCGTAATTCTTAGAAGCGGTAAAAATAGACATGATTCAGCAAAATGCTCCAACAAAATCTAATCCAGCATCTGACAATTTTAATTAGCCACAAAGGGCTTGTGGATTTATTTATTCAGGTAAAAATACACATTTATAGTCAGACGCACATGTGTATATCTACATGTACTGTATATTGCCTTTTACAAAATGGCACAAACGTATTACATAGATTCTCAAATTCGAATTTGATCTGGTTCCAATAATCTCTTGATTAACCAGTTAAAGTCTACTAAATTTTTATCAAGGGTAAACTTTAATTAAAAGTATTATGTAGATCACTACAAAGAGAAGATATGGTTACAGGTTAATGTAATGGTATATAGTTCGATTGAATGGGTAACAATCAATATTGTCACTCTGTGCATGACATTAAACCTGAATGCATGTCAATATTCTACTGTAATAAATATTGCAGATTTTCCCAGGGTTCAGCTTGAACTGATAGCAATACAGAGGAACACAGCAGGATCATTATGGCTTTCGTTGAACTAGAAGGGTCAATCACTGTATCCAACCACTGACGTTTACTTTGTTAAATACTTCCTATTAACTATAGGGATGTCTCAAAATTTTACGCTTTAAAAAAAAAGTCCAACAACAAACAACTTGCCAATTACAGTATAATGATTTATAAACTAAGTATCTGAGGTTTTGGGAGTGGATTTTTCAGTCATGAGCAAGATTCTCTCATATGAATTGAACCCAAACCCTGAGATTAGAAGGCAAGCTAGTGCCTTAGATAGAGTTAGTTTTCAGCTACTGCAGATAAGTTTCCTATATATTATAGTTTAATATACAAACATTTGTTATTTAATTATAAGAGAAACATAAAGTTAAAAATGTATAACCTATAATGAGCTGTTAAACTATAAAAAATAAAATAAAATAAAATGAAACTTGTTTACACATTTAAAGGTACAGTAAAACCTTAACTCTTGAACCTCCTCCTTTTAACCCTTACACTGCCAGCTCTTTTCTTATTCAGTCAACCACAGCGCCAGCTGATAACATTACCTCTAATCCCCTGTGCCAGCTAATTATTTAACAAGGTCACCGTAATGCTTATTTTTGATAGTGTATATTATTTGCTCAATAATTCATAAACTATTCAGATCATGAAAATATAAATCTAAAAAAAATTAATCAGCATTAGTTTGTTTGTACATATATGCTTTTATTTCTGCATTTTATTTATCATTTAGTGAATAAATGATAGGATTATTTTGTCAAGGCCTATCAAAAAATAATATATTGGGCCTAGGCCTATTAGCAGAGTATGTGTTTTCAAAGTCAAATTACTTGCTGATGAAAATCAAAATAACGAATCCTAGGCCTACGTATATTTACTAACATTACTATCACAGTTCAGGCCTAGCTAGGCCTACGCCTAGGCTAGGTCTGCCTAGCTAGGCCTAGGACCAGAACATCATTTTTTACGTCAGTTTCTAAGTCTCCTTATTATCCAGCACAGCTGTAACAACTACAGAAGAATAAAGTTTCTCAACATTTCAAAACATCATATATTCAACTTGCAAAAACTCAAACTTCTAACAAAACAACACTCAGCAAGTTTAACATCAAAATGTGCAGAAATTCATTAGCTTTCATATGCAGTAAACACTATTTGGGTTAGTGTTAAAACAGCCACTCTATGGTCGTTTTTTTGAAGACCTTCACCAATTCGCATTTATGCGAAGGTGGCGTACGGTTGACAGTGAGCCTAATCGCATTTATACGAAACTAGCATGCACACCAACTGTGGGGTGTTTGCATTTATGCGAAGATGGCAGCGTAAGGGTTAAAATGAAAAGGCTTTACGTTCAAAAACTATTGTGCAAGTGTCTGGGATACTGTAGTTGATCTATTGCATATTCCTGAAGGGTCCCAAAGTGTGGGGTCACATTTGCATTGACATAAAGCTTTGATTATAGAATCCAGTGACTTCTCATTGTTTATCTTCTTATGGGTACAATAGACCCACTGGTACAGGACTGGGCACAATGCAGGCAGGACCTAGAAGCCCAGTTAAAAGAGGATTAAAACCGAGCACCAGGAATTCTCTGTGACCCTTTGTTTAGGTCTACACAAATGCCAAGAGAACAAGGTGTTTAAATTAATTCACCAGCACTGGATTTCTTGCATGTGTACTGCATCTAAAACTTCTTTACTACTGAACACACTAGATTCTTTGAACCATATTTAATGAGGAAGAACCATTTAGCAGATGCTGATCATTTTGGACCCTCAGTGGAATGGTCACATACTTTTCCAACCCTTGGTATTTATTATAAGCAATCTAGTTTCTTTGGGAGGAATTAATGCCTTCACAAATGCCTGGAGGTATTTGGACTATTACACCGGGCTCTTGGGGCGGAGTACTACTATGCCAGCAATGCGATAATCACAATATTTCGCCAATGCCCCTTTTTTGGGTAGGGCATTTAACAATTTCATCCTAACAGTGTGTTTACCTTAACATCATTAAATTAATATGGGTAAAGAACATTAAAAACAAAAATAATAAAGTGAAAGGACTTGTTAATAGGCCTAATCTTGCAAGGTGTAACAATCTTGAAAGGTAAAAACTGCCTAAGTTCTGGAAGAATCAGGCCAAACAATTTAAATTATTAACATCTAAATTCTACAAAATCACAAAATATGAACTTATTTTGGAGCTTATATTAATTATAGTTTTAAAAAAAATAATTGATTTTAATTAATTACTGTGAACTTACTATACTCTCTGTGAGGCTGGCTTTTTTCTGTTGAAATCGGTCTGCAACTGTGTCAATGACATTACTTCCTCCATTCCTGCAACAGCTAGTAGATGTGGGCCTACAATGGTAAAATAAAATAAATTATTTAGAAACAATCAAATATTTACATTTATGGGATCTTCAGTGCATTATATCCTAAATCAGAAAGAACGACAGTCAAGAATGTACTGAATATAAAATTTATTATTTTGTGTAGTAAAGTTTAAAATATTTAATCTTTACATTTTAATGAGAATTTGCCATAGTAATGAAAAATCGAGACTGTGATCAAACTGGCTTAATTGCCCACTTGACCACCACTAAGGATTCTAGTATACCCTAGTTGGTCCATATTGGCACATGCTGCAACTTATATCCGCCAATTACAATACTGGACACAGCTCCGATTTATTTCATAATAATAACGTTACCTAACGGATTTATAATAAATACAAAGGTACTTGCTAGTTGACAATTAGCAGAAACTGTGAGCATTCCCCATTAATTTGGCAACAGCTACGCAATGTGGCAATAGTGAGAGTAGCGATTTTACAGTCCTAAACCAGGCTGAAGAGGAGGCGATTTCTATCACATCCCATGTGTAGGATTATGGGTTTCGATTGCTAGAAGACTTGGATTACCTCAGGTATTTTGCTTGTTGACTAAAATTGAATAGTCAATAAAATCCTACTAAATAGCAAGTATGGTTTGTATTTTATCCTACATTAAAATTCAGAATCAATGCCAAATCTCATATAAAAATATGAATAGAATTCTCCATTATTATTAAATATAAAAATGTTCAGTGAAAAACCCTGCAACTTTACATTTATACCACCAATGTGGAAGTCTACATTTTTTTCGATACATTTTTACGTCATTGTCATTACACTATAGTCAATGAGCATTTCCTCGGAACAAATACTGGTGCATTATAAATGCATCTTTAGGCCTAATTGTTAGCACTACTTTCAAGCCTAAACTCAAAGGGAGAGTGTCAAGAGGTGCAGGGGCTACCTACAAGTAGGTACTCTGGTGGGGTCTATGGAAAGTGCAAAGCATTCTAGCATGTAAATGGTGAACTTGATGGCATTTGATGCAAGGAAGGGACTGGTTTGGCTTATCAGAAAAGGGTCACACAATAACAATTGAGTAATGTTTATGATCTGCAATAATAAATTTATGACTACCATTAAAATTAGTAAATTACATATGTAGCACAGTTATCTACAGTTTTACAGCAGTCATCCCTATCCAAACTGTCAGCTTTATATACTGTAGGAATGGAACAATCAGTTAATATTCAAGTTCTCATGTTTGCCTTTTTTTATTTCTTTGAACAGGCCAGATATTTTTGATGGTCAGAAAGATAAAACTAATTATTATACTTTAGAAATCATAAAAAATGTTTTTATAATTAGCATTCTACCCAAAAAGCTGGTGATCAAATACAAAAAGAAAACTTTTTTATTATAAATAATGATATAGGACTTGTATATAAGTACTACAGTACAGATAAAAATTACTGCAACTTTTGCTCTGCGTAGACTTCGTAGGCTACGCGAAGTAAATGCGTAGTAAATGTGTAGCATTTAATACGCATAGGTAAAACCTAGGGTTTGCACATGCATTGGGTGGGTTACACCGCACTGCAGCTGGCTTCGTACAGCTAGGATATCTTTAGAATTGACACTGCCAGAGTGAAAATCTACAATCGACTGTATCGTATCTTGAGGGAGTATAGGCACAAAAATGCAAAGATTCTGGGAATTAAAAATATATTTCAAATCGGTTTTTATTTAATATTATTACTGTATGAATAGAGCTTGTTTTATACTTTGTCCAACATAAAATCTACAGTCTGTACACTTATAAAAGCAATTCTAGCAATAATCATTTATTAAATGGCCCCACATGGCCTAATTATCATTATTATAAACTGGCTAATCATCATTTTTGAGATCAAAATATGAATAATGAAGACAAGTTTTTATTTTTCCACATGTACAGTATTGACTCACTATTGTTAGTCCAGACATTCTAATTCTTGGAAATCATAAATTGGAGACAGGAATGGGCAAATATACAATATGGATGTTTACAGTATACACCCAAACAGGTTGTTCTGGCATCCTAGTGTACAGTATTTTAAATTTAATTAGGCAAATAGGCCTAATCTTTTTTTACATTTTTTTTTGGTGTGGTACAGTAGGGGGAGGGTGAGAGAAGAGTTTACAGAAGAGTAAATAAAAATCTAGGAAAATGTGCTGTCAGTGGTAATGCCAGCAAGGGGAGGATGGCGGATTTTTCGACAAAAATAATTATCCCCTTGAACCAGAGATTTTTACTCCAGGACCCTCACTGAGGTTCTAGACAGCCATTTGGCTCTGACCCCTCGGATGGACATGTCAGACCCTTGTTGTAAAATTTATGGAGCCAATAACTGCATGTTATAAATATCTCATATATAATCATGGGGTGATTATCAATACAAAGATGATTGGTGAGCCAAAGTACAATAATGAAATGTTGACACTAAGAACTAATGTAATCACATTAGTTTATAGTATTGCAAGTGATTGTTCAAAACTAATCTCGGCACAGATAAGACAAGATAATAATCATATTATAGTCTGGTGTTGACCATTAACTGCATGTATAATCACATCTTATTATAAAAAGTCAATATTAAAGATGCATTGTCTGCTAAACAAATCAGGGAAATCCCTGAAACAAATTCAATTAAAACCCCTGAATAACTCATTTAAATTACAGTAAAAGGAACAAACAACTTTGACTCAGTTCTAACCAGTAGTCCAAAAAAAAAAAAAATAAAAAACTTTAGGAATATTTTACTATACAGGCAATCAACCATTAAATTCTCAAATAATTTTGTATGGCTTCAATAATAATATTTACATGTTATCACTGAAGAATAAGTACAGATTTTGAGATGGAATTTTTCAAACTGGTTGAGTGGGGGGAGAGGAGAGGCACAACATATTAAAAATTGACAAGTGAGTAGCATTAATTTCAATAATAACAGTAATAGTTGGCAAAATAGATTGGCTGGATGGGGGTGCATTAGGTATTGTCTTTACAACAGTGAAGAATATAGTGAAAAAATCCGACATTCTGTTATATACCGGTACATTTATGTTTAAAGATATCTACGGTGTGAGAAACCCAAAGATGTTTTTGGGAAATGTCGCTAACCTTGGATGGAGAGAAGTAATTGCAGCACCATCACATATCTAATTGACAGTGCCTAAATCATGAGCAAGCACAAGAATCGTAATTTCAGAAATTTGATATTGCGTATCCAGGTATACTGTGTCCGTTCTAAAATTAGTTAAAATTTAAATTCTGCTTTAACATCTTTGTTACTGTTAGGCAATATTTATTATGACACAATGGAATGAAGAAAAGTAGCGATTACTGAATGCCATAACTTGTTGCTCAATGCAAAAAAAAACCAGAATAACAGCTCAGTATGCAAAAATTGACAAGATCACAATAGCTACAACTGATACAGTGCATTTTAAAGTATTTATTTTTGATAACTTTAAAATTGATATGAAAAAATGAGGTGCCTTATTGAGAAAACAAATAATTTCAAAAAGTAAAATGGGACAAAACAATCAATATCAGCTTTTATAATCAAAATAATGATTCATTGATTTTATAAACTACTGTATACCATGTTAAATACATTTCACAAATTCACTGATGAGCCTGTAAATAACATATGCACTAATTCCCTAAACAACAATTAGAAACCTTTTGATGAATCTATTACAAAATGTCAAGACGGTTGGAGTCGAACAATACATGCGACAAGGGAATTCCCCATAGCATGCTTGCTTCATCACCGAGTTTACTAGGACTAGAATACAGTACATACCAGCTAGACATATCCAGGTAGAAAGGATTAAAATTTATATATACTTTTATATATATTATCAACGGTTCCTGCTAAGCAAGCTTCAATGAAATCCACACAAGATAAAATTTACTGTAAAATGACTATTAATATGGTACTGATGAAGGCCTTCACCCACATACAATGCATTATGACCCCCATTGTCAACTCACCTGAAGGAGTTTGGATACATTTCTTGGTAGAGTATTGTTCTAAAATGTGAATGCCCTTTAAAAGGAACCGGAAGCAAGTGTTTAACGTGACAATAAGAGGTATATCAAGGATGCAAGGGAAGTTTCATACAAACCTATGTTAATGGTAAAGTCATAAAAATCAATTTGCATATGACTGTGACATAATCTGGAAAAATGATTACAATATTAAACATAAGCCTAAAAAATGAAAATGCTTCAATTGAATTTACATTTGCACATAGTGTATAGGCCTCCCTCATTATTAAAGAGCTTTCGATTGCACGACGACGGTAGGACCTAGAACGTAATGACGTAACTAAAAGTCATCTGCGCATGCGAGAACGTTAAAGTCACCTCGTCGAGCAGATTCTGGAATGCAATTTGGCCAAATCTACGTATGCAGAAAACGTAGGACGCCAGGTAGGACGGTCACGCATGAGTGATTCCGTTCTAGTGTCGCGTCATCGCACAAATCAAAAACTCCTTATTGACCACTTTTGGGACCGGCTTTCCATGGTCTTTAGTAGCTTTGGTCTCTAATTAGAATATTATAAGACATGTTAATTTGGGACCACAGAAAAGTGGTCTTTAATTGGAGGGGTCATTAATTCGAGGGAGACAATTTCATGTATGCATTAATTAAAAAAAAAAATTATGCTTAAAATATTAAAGGTCTATGTACAAAAATGAAGTGTGTTAAGTTTCTTAATGATACTACTGTATCTTGGAACTCTACATATTATGCATATTATTATTAGCTTTTCTTAAAACCAGTACAATGGAAAGCTACTGGACTAATACAAGAAATGTCCATAACAAATAACACAGGTTGTAATTAACAAAGAAAGTTACTGTTTAAATTATGTAGTGAAAGATGTTTATTCAAACACAGAACGACACACCAAGGGCTTTCACAACGGTTTAACACTATAATAATAATAACTGTCGACTTATAAAGCGCAT